TTCTTATTTCCTATAGGGCAAAAAATAACCAAAGCAGAATTGTAAAACTTTATTGTCAAGATAGTCCCAACAAGTGGTTCTACCCCATGGCAATTATATGTTTGAGATCCGCACTCCAAAACCATATATATTCTTATGTCATGTCAGAAAAATTCGAGGGATACACTTTGTGAGTTCTAATAAGTCATCCCCACCCCCTGCTATTTAAGAATGTTTAGGTATTTTTAAGAACGTTGTAATCAGTTCCCCTAAACCATATATTTGTTTGTTTGCTATGTCGAGATGAATTCATTTATATATAGGGCAAATCCCCAGGGGTCATTTACATCCCTAGCCATTCGTGAATGTTAAAGTATCTTATTAATGGTTAAAGATCCCCACCCTTAAACCATATTTTTTCTACTTCATCATAAAGAGTTTGAGAGTCAAGTGTCATCCCCAACCCCTGCAATTTAAAAATGTCAAATAATTATATCCCGTAGAATAGGGGTTGAGATCCTTGCACCTATTCATGTATTTCCTTGTAGTTAATGTCAATATGAATTGAATAGTACATTCAATAACGCTAATTTATGCCCAGATGGAGTGATCCCCACCCCTGCCATTAAACTAAGTGAATATGGTTGAAATCCCCACCCCTCAATCATATAATTTCTAGTTTGTTATGTCAAGATTGAATTACATATATGGTGAGTCTTCAGGGGTATATATTAAAGGGGACTTATTTGGTTTGTCTGTTTAAGGTGAGAAGGAAGTAATTAAAGATGACAGGCGCCACCTAGTTTTTTACATCCAAGATAATAGGCAAAAGTAAATTTATTTTCTGCTATCCTGTTAATTAGAAAACAAAATTGAAATAGTGAAAAATGAGTGTTGGCTATTGGTGTAGAAATAGCGAGAAATTTGGAGGAAACTCTCTGTGACGAGCAACAGTTTCTGTGCAAAATTAAGCGAGGGGTGTTCTTCATTCATACTATTTCGAAAATTCTGGAACCATATAGTACCCTTAAAAAATGCCATTTTTCTATCAAAAAATCTGCGGCACCATATGTGTTTTGCAGTTTTATTCACACCCGAATGTGTTGATAATTCAGAATTTGACAGTTTTATCAACAGATCTTTTATACTGAAAAGGCAGGACTCAAAAAGGCTACCATTGTAAATAATTACTTCATTTTAACCTAAAGCGAAATAACGATTTCTGGCGCTTCACTGTATCTTGCGAAATATTTTAGAAATGGGATAGGTAAGTTAATAAGCTACTAGGTAGTAAACTTATCAGAAGAAAATTGCCGATCACCATGAACCTATAGTCTATATCAATGTTTTACGATTTTTTTATTCTTTTGCTTAAGGAGTAGGATTCATTAACCCACTGTACGAACTAGAGAATTCTGCAAGGACTCTGTCTTTAATCATTTCTCCACATCTTTGATATCACTGCATGCAAACAGGCATATCTAAAAAAAAAGGGGGGGCTAATTTTTGCTGACGTTAAGCGATGTTTGTATTTTTAATTGGTAAAATGATGCAAAAATGCCCCTAGAATATAAAAATTAGTTAAAAAATCAAAGGCTATACAATGTCCTTCTTAGTACCGTCGAATTGAATATTCTGTACACGGTTAACATAAAAACCATAACAGCAATGATAGAATCTTAATTTCAGCATTTTTATAGTCTAATTAATAAAATTTTGTTTCGCTCATGCAACTGTTTTCATATACTCGTGACAAAAACATATAAATTGTACACAGTTATCAAATCACCAGCCTCAAGTCTTTAATATGCCTTAATCGAACTTAATTAATCAAACACCTCGTTTAAAACACAGCCAAACGGTCAAAATATGCTAGTCATTGTCCCCAAGTCTTTAAAAACTAACGTTTTTTGCAAATGCGGCGGGGGACACCTGTGAAGAAAGTCATTTTAAATGGTGAAGAATTGTATCTTTAATTCAAAAATTTGAATGTAAGCAGTAGGGGTATATAGTAATCGACTAATGCAAAGGTTGTCCGATTATTTTTCAGTATATGTCAGTATATGTTAAAAGGAAGTAATTAAAGATGACTGGCGCCACCTAGTTTTTACATCCAAGATAAAAGGAAGAAGTAAATTTATTTTCTGCTGCCCTATTAATTAGAAAACAAAATTGAAATAGTGAAAAATGAGTGTTGGCTATTGGGTGTAGAAATAGCGAGAAATTTGGAGGAATCTCTCTGTGACGAGCAACAATTTCTGTGCAAAATAAGCAAGGGTTGTTCTTCATTCATACTATGTCGAAAATTCCGGAACCATGGAGTACCCTTAAAAAATGCCATTTTTCTATCAAAAAATCTGCGGCACCAGATCCATATGTGTTTTGCAGTTTTATTCACACCCAAAGGTGTTGATAATTCAGCATTTGACAGTTTTATCAACAGATCTTTTATACTGAAAAGGTAGGACCCAAAAAGGCTACCATTGTCGCTTGTGTAAATAATTACTTCATTTTAACCTTAATTATTTTACATTCTTAATGAAAAGTAATCACAAGAGAGATAACTCTATATTTGAAAATCCGTCACAAAATCTTTAATTTATTTACTGAGTTCATTTAACTCTCGAGTTTTAACAGTTTAACGCAACAGTAATTATAACTATATAAATAAAACCATTTACAGGTAAATTTTATGAAATAATTTTGGCAAATAAAATAGAAATAAATTTCAATGTGAAAAGATTCACATCGTTTGACATCTTTTTGTGATTTGGGAATTCTAATGCAACTGAGCAAAAATGATAAACTATTTTTAAAGTTGTAAATTAATAATTTTAACATTTCCTTCATAGTAAGGATAACATAATATAAAATTATAATAATATTGCATGTTTAAATACGCGAATTATTGAAAATTATGTGAAAATAATACATTCCGTTGCCATGGTAACGGTGTAATAGAGCCCAGCTTCAAAATCATGAAATTTGTAGCACACATGTTAATCTTCATATGGATATTCAATACATTAGAAATGTACTTTGAAAGATTTCGTGTCTTTTTGTTTATCTTTTTAACAAATATAAGCCATTTTCATACCTGTAAACATAAACATATATGGATATTCAAACTACTAGTATTACATTTGGTAGAGTTTCGAAGCACAAATAATGTTTGTTTTAAAAATCAATTAAATACCATTTAAATATAACCTTATCTAGCATACTCATAGCAACAGAAATAAGTCATTTTAATTGGAATTTTTGCCTATTCCAGTAGATGGCGCTTCAAAGTCTAAAGTAGCCTCAGATCAAATTTAAAAGTTAACATTTTTTTTTATTGACTATCATAACATATGTGCATATCTATTGACTAGCAAAACTTCATAACATTTCGTGGACCTATCATGTGGACCAACTAATAACCCTTTTGCATGGTTTTACCATAAATAAAGGCAACAGTAGTATACCGCTGTTCGAAATTCATAAATCGATTGAAAAAAAAAACAAATCCGGGTTACAAACTAAAACTGAGGGAAACACATCAAATATAATAGGAGAACTACGACATAACAGAAACACAACATTAAAATGTAACACACACAGAAACGAACTATAATATAACAATGGCCATTTTCCTGACTTGGTATAGGACATTTTAAGAAAAAAATGGTGGGTTGAACCTGGTTTTGTGGCTAGCCAAACCTCCCGCTTTTATGGCAATGTTAAATATAACATTAAAATGACACCATTTCATGACAGGACTACAATACAAATAAATGGGGGAACATATAGGACAGAGAAACATACGAATAATAGCTAACAAAAGGTACCAGGTTGAAAATTTAATACGCAAAACGCGCGTTTCGTCCACACAAGACTAACCAGTGACGCTCAGATAAAAAAAGTACGAAAGCCAAAACAAGTACAAAGTTGAAGAGCATTGAGGAACAAAAGTTCCAAAAAAGTTGTGCCAAATACGGTAAACATTGTTACAGTATTGGTAAATGTATTTGTCGCTTTGGCCAGTTACATTATCTATACTTTCACACCAATAGATGTGAAAGTGTCCAATTTTAATTGTCAAAGAAACGGATTACTTTATTAATTTAATCACATCCAATTTAAATTGTTCTATGTAAATTAAATGAGACATTACCAAAATGAGTCAAAATATCTAGAAGACATGCAATCTCGTGTTTGTGGTTGAAATTGTCCTTTACAAATTGTTTATTGTATTCAGAATATATATAGGTTGTTTGAGACTATTGTCCCTTCCAGAGAAAAAAACATCATAATAAATGATTCTTATAACAGTATGTATCAACATGACAAACATACAGCATTATTTACTTTTACCTCGCAAAATAACATGGAATTGCATTGCTGACGTTCAAAGTGAACAACTTGGATAAAAACTCAATGTTTAAATGACTGTCAATACCAGGCTATACGTGTAATAATATGTAAAATTACAAAAGAAGGTATTGTACAGATGTGTTTCAGCATTCTTATAAAATTAAAATGGGCCAAACATACAACAAAGAAAGTATACTAATAGCAGGCGTGAGAGGCAATCAAAATGAAACATTATATACGAAGCATTATTTTTAAATGATCGCTCAGCTATTTTGTTTGTTTGTTTGTTTTATTATTTTTATTATGCTCCTTTCGTGTCTTAAAAAAAGACATCCTTAGGTGCCATAGTGATTTTGAGACGAAGGTAAAAAATAATTCCCATATCAATTCAGGAGCTTTATATGGTACGATATCGAAGGATTTTAAAACAAATTTCCTAATAATAACTTAGTCATACAGTATAAAAAGCCATAAAATACCAATTTGACTTTAACATAAATTTATCAAGATCGATAAACTGTATGAAATACGTTTGTCATCAAGGATGAGTGTATGAAGTATTTGTCATAAGGTCATATAAATCTCTTGGGGGAAACGAACTCTCCGGATGTTAGATAACATACTTAATATACATATATACTTATCAAACACATAATCTATTTTGATAAGACTGTGTTAACAATTAATGATGAATTCCATTGGCTTAAATTTGATAATATTGAACCTTGTTAATGTCGTGGATTTGTTGAATAATGATGACATATTTAAAGTTATGTTCAACCGAACAGATTTACTATGTCCCGTGTTCTGTAATGGATATCGTCTGGTCAGTTGTTGTATGTGTAATGTACAAAAAACACGAGAAAAACTACAGACATTAAATGTTGTGCACAATGCCAAAACGGAATATCCTACAATAGAAAAACCAAATGTGTTGAACATTCAGTACCAGATAATACACATATTTAAAAAGACGAAGAGGCTTCCAGTTAACATATGCAATTTTACAGGACTTGTTGAAATAAACTTTTCTAACAATGAGATAAAAAGTATTGATATTTCTTGTGTTAAAAGTTTAGATGTTCTGATCATGCGTAGAAACAGAATAGAATACTTGAGAAACGATACCTTTTTCGGAATGAAGTTTTTACGCATGATTGACCTTTCATACAATAATCTAAGACATATAGAACCAGGAATTCTAATACATACGGCTGGAAGTCTTCTTAACTTTGATGTATCTAATAATTTTTTAACAACAGTAGATGTCACTAATTTTTTGTGGGAAAAACAACCAGCTTTCTGCAAAACAGATTTTTCTTTTAATGAGATATCAAGTATAAGCAATGAACTACATTGGACATGCAAAAGGAATACACAATTTGGATATGGAGGAATGATTATTTTTTCAAACAATAATTTTTCACATTTTGCAAATTTTTCTGAGATAGGATTTAAAAATTTCTTTTTGTTAGGAAAACTTCTAGATTATGGATTTGATTTTCGAGAAAACAATTGGATATGTGATTGTCGGATTTATTTCTTTGCATTTAAAGCCTCCCTGGTTTTAGATAAGCAGCATAGAGATTATTTTGAGTTGTCTTGTCACTATCCTCCAGAATTCAAAAACATGCTTTTAATTGATTTTATAAAAAGTCAAACTCTAGAACGTTTAGTCTGTAATCTTACAATTGCCGACAGATGTCCACCACAATGTCGCTGCTTTTACCAGCCTGGTAGATCAAGAACTGTAGTAGACTGTTTCGGAACCGGAAGAAGAAAATTACCCTCTGCGTTGCCATTGAAAACTGACCTAGAGGTAGATTTTTCAAGTAAAGAAATATCAAGTTTGCTCAACGATACGGGTAGTGGAAACATGATATATTCTTATAGCAAATACATTAGTAAACTGGATTTATCAAACAATACAATCAAAATAATCCCGAACGATCTTGTTTTTAAATTACGAAACATGAATTTGATTAATGTATCAAAAAACAAAATAACGAAAATTCCACGTACTTTGCAAACTCTAAACCCTTGTCAGATATATTTAGGAGAAGTCGTGATTCTTTGTAAATGCAAAGACATTTGGCTTCAAAATTGGTTGCCGTCATTTCATAGCAAATGTTTTGATAACACGAGAGTATATTGCAAGTACAATAATGAAAAAGTTCACATATTAAATATGTCTAAACATGGACTTGGATGTAGACTTTACAATGAAGATATTTTATGGTTGAACATTTCACTGGCCGTGACGGCGTTTATTGTGACAGTTTCGTCGGTTTTAATATATATCTTCCGTTTTGAGATTTTCATAACAGTAAGAAAAATCCTAAAGTACTTCAAGAAAATAGTCGTTTCATCAAATTTATATGCATATGACGTGTATATATCTTGTAATGAAGATGACGCTACTTTACGACATTGGTTGACGTCATCATTTGTCCCTCTTCTTGAAGACGAAAACCTCCGAGTATTTTTGCCTTTCAGAGATTGTGAATAAGGAAGTCCGCGTGAAGAGGAAATTATTGATGTTATGTCAAAGAGTCTTAATTTTGTAATTTTTCTGTGCGAGAATTACGAAGGCTCAGCAGACATATGGGTTCAGAAAGAATGGAAATATGCGTGGTTTAATTATAGATATGATATCAATCGAGAAATCATCGTTATAAATTATGACATGCTGAAGTGTAAATATATTGCAAAGAAATATTTGGGGGCATTTTTAAAAATTCGTGATTTTATTGATTTTTCAAAAAAGGATAAACACATAAAAGAAGAGGTGTACAAAAGTCTCCAACATGTTCAAAGTGAAGCTTTTGCCACAAATAGATACTTCAATGACCTAAATGCAGCACGGAGTGCTATTCATATGGACGTTACGTATACAAATATTGACAATGAGATGACAAATCTTAATATAAAACATGACGACAGCGCGAATGCTACCTAATTTTAGAGTTATAAAGGCATATCAAAATCTGTCTTCGGAAATAGTCACTTATGATTAGAGTGAATTCATACATTATTTCACCATTAGTTAAATTAGCTTAAAATGAGAGGAAGTTTTACGCTATTGAAATAACTTAAAATAGCTATTAAATGGGAGATATCAATGCATACTAAAACAATGGAAGTTGTGGCAGCTGGAAACATGTGAAAAACAACATTACCTTGAAAATTGTTACTGTAAAAGTTCATAAATAAATCTGTACAATAAATTGTTTGATCATTCACAAATTAAAATTAATTCAAACACTAATGACAGATTTAACAACACATTTCAAAGACGATCTATCATAAGCAAGTCAACTTCATTTGCATTGTTGTGGTTGTGTGTCGAACCCCACTCGTGGAAGGTACGTTTCACCACGATCCAAACTGACTAGCACTGCCAATTTTGTTGCCAAAGGTCTGTTTTTACTTTCCCACAGAAACTCCATCATTCCCACCAGTAAATACTGGCCGCCATGGTAAAGTAAAAACAGATGAAAGCCCCCATCAATAAATCAATCAATCGATCACTTCTACTGTAATTTTCTATTGTAAGTTTTGTAAAGCAAACAGAAAATGTTCTAGACGTAAACGTAAATAATTCTGTACATTTGTTACATACTGTTATTTTCTGAAAAGGGCAAATACTGACTAAAATCAACAATTGGCATAGAACAATTGCTACTACAAACACAAGACTGCACGTCTTATAGATATTTTGACTTATTTGGTTAATGTCTCATTCGATTTAAATGGAACAGATTTGATTGGCTGTATTGCACATGTTGCATCTGAGATTACCTCCGATTTTTTTATGGGGTTCGTTTTGATCAGTTCTTAGTTTTTGTGTTGTGTCTACCATTAAATGTCTTTTGGTCATTTTAAGTTTTTTGCCATGGCATTGTCAGTTCATTTTCGACTTCAAGGTTTTATTGACCCTTTGATATCGTCCGCTTTTCTTTAAATTCTGCAGTTAAATTATCAACATACGTTTTTCCAGTATATACAGCCAATTCATATCGTTGTAAACGTATTATGTAATTTTAAGTGTGAATTTATTTACTTTTTGGAAAACATAATTATCCCACATACTTCAGATATATTTAACAACTTGAGGTTGACCCTAAAGAACGCGGAAAGAGGGTGGTAAACTTCAATTATTAATACTACGCAATTTTAAGTGTTGTAAATTATTATAGTTTAACTAAAAGCACTTGTGAAGTATACACCAACAGCAATTAGGGGACGTAATAAAAATAAACAAAAACATATAAAGGTCAACATACTGTCTTTAACAATAGACAATTTCATATACATTTTTCAAATTCTTTATTGCCAGAAAAGTTATGAATTCATTTCATCATTTATACTTAGATATGCCAAAGGCAACAGATTTATATAAATGAGATTCGTGATGGGGTTTACAGAATAGAGAATGTAGAAAAGGGGACACAACAAATTAAAACTAGACAAAAATAGACACAACAAATAAAGAATAGAGAAAAATGGTCAAAATAAATAAAGAAAAATTGGTCTAAAAATTAAAGAATAAAGAAATGCAGGACCCCCATCCAGACCCTCAAAAAGGAAAAACCATTCAAATATTAAAAAAAAACGGCTGACCAAGTCCCTTTCTTGTGACAAACATGACTGTTATGAGCATATGAAGGGGTTAAGCCACAAAATAAGGATACTTAGTAATGTTGTGGTATGATTTGCCAATGAGACAACTATCCAAAAAGAGACCACATGACGTAGATGTAGGCAATTATAGGTCAACGTACGGCTTTCAACTATGAGCAAATACCATGCCGTATAATAAACTACAAAAGTCCCCAACTTACAAAAACAGGAAAAATAAAGGCCTGATTTATAAAAAAAAACAATAAACGAAAAACAAATATGATAGACAGCAAACAACGACAACCACTGAATTACAGGCTCCTAACTTTGGACAGACACACTGTAAAAATAACTGTTAAGAGCTTTACTCATCAAATCAACACAAAGCACACAAATCAACTAACAAAAAAGCAAAAATTTAAACGACACAAAATACACATTTAAAGAGTACTTGCAGTTACAGAACGGTAGTTTTAAGTACTTCCCTTTTTAATTTACCAATAGGCCTGATATCTAATTTATGAGACACTAGTATACCAAGGAATACATCATCCATATGTATTGGTTTTACATAATATGGAAAAATAATTTGAAACTGTCTTGCAGTTTTCATCGACACTAAATAAGCTCCTCCCATTATATATGGCGGCCATTTGTTATATGGATATTCCTCCCACGAAATATACCACTTTGAATCTTGGACTCGGTAGGGTGTTTCTTTTGCCGTAATGGATCCTAAATAAACATTGTGCTTATTTTTACATCGTTGTGGCAATGTCATTAAATTGGCAACATTAACGAAATAATTGTCGTCAACAAAAAACAAATAGTTGGCAGTTTGGCAATATTTTACCGCCCAGTTGAATCCCATTATTGTCTTAATCGTATTGTTTCTATAAACGTCAATAAAATTTTCTTGTTTAATATCATTGTATTTTGTCTCTTCAGCAGACAAAGGGACATAACCAATAACAAGCATAAATACTACCGACACATCGGAAGAGTTACCAGTATTTCCCCAAGTATTTCGTATTACTTGCCTTCTGTCTACATTCCGGATGTCGGACTTTACTATTATAATTATTCCCCAGTTTGCCCGAATTATAAAATTGAATTTATGTTTAAGCAATATTGTGTAGTTAAACGGATGAGGATTAATTATCGTAACGTTGTCCCGTGTGTTGTTTGAATGAATATCACGTGATAATTTGACCATGTCTATTTCTAATGGGTATTTGAAATTCTGCTTGTAAGGCAAGCCATGCTTATAGGTTTTTTTTAATAATCTTTGAAATTTCTACGATCTCTAGTAGATTATTGGTGTTTGCATTCGACGCTGAAACGTTTCTTATTGGTATATTTTGTCCATAAAGAGCATAGATTGCTACCAGGAATAAAATTTCTATTGCAAATAAGTATTAGAATATTGTTATTATGCGTATATTTCGTAGTCGTGTTATCACATGCTTCCAAAGGAACATTTTCTGAAATTTGCAATGAAAATGTGAAAGTTTGACATACTGATTATAGTAGATAAAATGCAACATGTGCCCCGCTTCAACAACAACGAAAATGTTGTAATGTACACCAAATTACAGCGGACGATATTTCAGCATGATTACTATACAAGCAGATAAAGTTCTTAAAGATTACATTAAGTAACTGTCAGCATTTAAATACGGTATTATTTTGAACTATTTCAATAGACTTTTTTACTATTACCAACTTTGACTCCGGAGTATATATATAATTTTTCGACAAGTTACATGTGTACCTTCATTATGGTAGGACATTCTGATACTCGGTCTAATAAGAGCAATTGAAAGAAGATATATCAAGCTTATAAAAAGATCAATGAAAAGATGTAGTTCAAACTGCGCAATGCTCTTTATTTTGGATGCACCTCTACGCAGACTCTGTCGCGTGAACTTCGAAATTTTAGAATTATACAAGTTCAATTCGCGCAGTGCTATTCGTTTAGGGTGTATATCTTCGCAGTCTCTGTTGTAAATAGTTAACCTGTGTGAACTTTGAAACTTTAGAATTATACAAGCGTGGCTAGGCTTTTTAATTTGTATTACGTTTAATATAATAAAAAAAAAGAGATGTGGTATGATTAATGCCAATGAGACAATTTTAACTATCCACCAAAGTTCAAATGATTTTTTTTAGTAAAATCAGAATAGATTGATATGATTCATTTTATATCATAATGGTGAAGGATGTCTGTTATCCGAAATATTTATTGATACTTCTATTTACTGTTTCCATTTCTTAATATTGGTGTTGTTTCGTACACTTTTTAAGCGTATACATGATTTATTTATTATGTACATTATCGTTTTATAACGATTCAACGCCCTCGTGAGAAAGATCGTTGATTAATATCTAATTATTCATAAAATAACAAAAATTAAAAGAACGTACCTAGTGCACTGGTTATATCATTTCCTCAACGGATGTCAAACCCGGATCTGTATCATCTGTTCAAAACTATGTCATGTATATATTATAGATGTGTTAAAACAAGAAACAGTTCTATACCTTATAAAACACTTTAAAGCTTGTGCATAAAAATAAATATACTGACGGACTTTATAAACGCAACACAAGATTGTTTTTTTTTTGTATCAGTTATATATGTAAGATACACATATAAACATAAAATGCATTTATTACTTCATCGCATTGATAAAAAATGCAGTTCGAAAGTTGAATGAAGGGGCGCATTACATTTGCGAGCCATTGGGGATTAATTTTGTTTTACATTTGTGCGCAGCTTTTGATTAAATTTGCGCGCATTCATTTTACAGGTAACACAGGTAAAATAAAGGTAGTTCATATTAAGTATGACTATAGTTAATATGAATTTTGAACATATTCTATTTGTAAATTTAAATTATATATTTTTCTTATTGAATTTAAAACAAATAAACAGTGATCATGAGAAATCTTGTAATAGCTTAAAACATACATGTAACTTAATTGCGAATATTTCAGAGTAAA